GTGTAATTGTAAATGGTTTACAAAACATCATTGCCCCAATCGGCCAAACCGCTGAACTCAAAAACCAATTCAAGCCAGATTTATAGCCCAGCTACGTACCCGCTGTGAATTGCAACCACACATCACCATCTTGTATTGTAAGATGTGTGGATGCAGTGTATTGTGGGTAGGGTGCGGGTAGAGGAAGTGAGTAGGAAATTTGGGTTCAAACCAATCAATTATTTGGTTATATTAACCCTATGGTCTTGATTTTTCTAAAAAGGGTAAATTGCTAACCCACCCCCCTGCGCCTCTAACAAGAGATATAAAATATCCAAAATACCCATATAGTTACTTTTTATCAAAATGTTTATTTTTCAAATTGTTTTCTTCATATCAATCGCTATATCAAATCCTTCCAATTTCTTTTCTAAAATTGATTTCTTTTTAAATTTATCTTTCATATCATTCACTTAAAGGTAAAACTGCAACTTTAAACTCTATTTTTTTTTACTTGTATTATTTTTACTGTAAAAACCAACCTCAATAGTAATTGCATAAATATTTTGTACATGCACATTTGTATGCTTCTTATTAAATGATTTTGACAAAAGAAAATCTACTTACAACTGTGTTAAAAAATTCTAGGGTGATAAATTGTAATTACCAAACTTTAGGGAGTTTCAACAGTTTAACGTTCTAAAAAACTGTTCACTTAATCAATAAATAGCTCATAAGGACCATTGAACCCCACTGAACCATTTGACCTGGGTAATGGTTCACACTTCACAGTTTATTAAAAAATCAAAATTAATTTTTAAAAACTAAAATAACAAAGAAAAAGGAAGTTACCGGATGTCTCTGAAGAGACAAAGAAAAAGTAAAAACAAGACAAGAGAAGGTTTGATCGGTTGGTGGAGAAAGAGAAAGAAATTAACCGATTAACCGGGACTGGGAGGGAGGGGGGAGGGGGAGTTTTTTTTTCTTTTCTTTTCTTTCTTTTTTAATTGCCCTTCTCACTCTTTCCTCTCTAATAATATGTGTATCTAGCACAATATCCCAATCTAATGGTCAAGATGCAATCAACAAACCATTTGAGAAAATCTATGATACTGGGAGATCTTTGACCAATATAATCAAATCTTTTATTGATTGGCTAATTCTGATATCATAATCGGACCCCAACCATTTTAACCTGTTTGAACCGACGGATTTTAAGACTCAATTACCAAGGCTCAGTTTGGAAGGAGTATAAATGCAAATATGTAGGGTGTAAATACATATAAAATAATACAAATTATAAGGTTTTGCACTCTACATATTTGCATTTGTACTCCTTCCAAACTGAGCCTAAACTCTACGTCTCCTCACCAACGAATAAACCCACCATTAACACCCTATTCAAAGTTGCAGAGGAAACAATCTTCTTCGACGGTGGAGCTCACTATGGCAATCTGCTGGCTAATCTCCTTCTAGGTTTTACTCTCTTATAGTTGCTCCTGACATTAGCAGCTGCTTTGAGGGCTTTCTTTCTCAGGTACAGGTTCACCAATTTGAGGGCGACTGTTATATCTGGTTTAGGCCCTATGTGATGATTAAGTGATTGTTAAAAAGAAGTACTTTTTGCACAAGTACTTATTTTAACAATCACTTAAAGTTGTTTGGTGATTCATTGTCAAATCACTTATTATGTTTTTAAGCATTTATTGGAACGAGGATATTTGGTAAGATATTTTTCCCATAAGTGCTTATATTGACGTAAATGACAATTTTAGCCATCACATATACAATGCAAAAAAATCAAATATTTCAGATTTATCTCTAAAAATAAAAATAAAAATCAGTTTTAATCAAAATATTGCATTCTTGATCATCAAAGATGTTGCTGTGGTCTGGAAGATGAGTGAACAGTTGTTATAGACATAGTAGTATAGAGTAGAATGTTGGTAGGTATACGAATAAATGGTTTGATGTCATGTGAAGAGAAACTTCATTCATTTTAATTCTTGAGGCGATTTGATCACATAGAAGCTTTTTGTGGGAAGAAAAGCTGTTTTTCTTGGGTTCTCTGTTATTACTTACCCTGTATTCAATTTCAAGGTTACGAAAACCATATTGTATGCAGAAAGGCATGCATACATTGATCTGGAAGGGCCTAGTTAGATGGTTTTTGGACAGTCCCTTTGAAAGAGTACTCATGTGGACTGAAGAATATTTAGTCCAACTAGCTTAGATGATGATGATGCACTACATGGAAATGTTAGAAAGATATTGGTATGTGGACCCTTTACAAACAAATTAAAATGGGTTAATGGAGAAATATTGTTGTTGAATCTATTCCCCGGATTTACATGTCCACCACAACAAAGGGTGATAGATTTTCTAGACTTGTCAACTTGAATCCTCTTTGTCTGTATTGTATACCATATTCGGGGATAATTCCCTCGGTGAAATGCAGTGTGGATTGTGAAGAATGTATATCATGAGGAAGGAGAATGGACGCGAAAGAAAGGCTTCTTGCTGAGTAGAAGGCAATGACAGGCTAACAGAGTAACTTGCATTTATAGAATATCATTACTTTGTTAGCACACACTGGTAAGTAATAGACCTCTGGCAATGAAGTGCACAACTTCATATTTGAGATTACAATATCACAACACTGTGATTCGTACACCTCTTTGCTTACTTCAGTAGCTCCTTTAGAGACTTAAATGATGAATGAGATAGGGCACAGAGAATAAGAAAGAACGAATGACTATTATCAAGGGATAAAGATCAAGACCTGGAAGATTGCAAAAGCACATTCAAATACTGCACCATAGCGCTGATGGAAAATGAGAGGTTTCCGGTTTCTCTGCAACTTCAAGAGTTATTTCCGTGATTTCACAGGATTTCCTAATTGTTCACCTGTTTGAGACGATGAGATGCGACTTCTTGTGAGGACAACAAAGTTAAGTACATACACAGAAGGTGCAGCTGCCGCTACATGTGATTTAGGAATTGGTAATTGTTGCAGAAATTCAAGTTTTGAGTATCCGTGACCCTGAAAAATAGTTTGAACCTTTCTCAGCTAATAACCGGGTACACCACATTGAGATTGAAACCCTATTATCATTAGCTAGATATTAAGTAATATATTATAAATTTAAGATCTAGTAGCTGGGCCCTCAACGTGTCTTGTAATTTGGAAGAGGGATTTTTTTCACTCTGAAATATTTTTAGATAGAGTTCTGCCACTTTTAACTATTTCTAAAGGGTAATCCAAAAGCTTTCTTCTTTTTTTCTTTGGATTGTTTTGTTTTTCTGGTAATTGGTGATCTAGAAGGAAATCAAAAATTTGTAGAAATTGAGACGGAAGAAGATTATAAATAATAGTATATGGTATGATTTATGTTGTGGAATAATTAATGAACACACCCAATAACTAAAATGATAGACAGATGGAAAAACAAAAAAAAAAACGCAAAACAAAGTAACTCGAGAAACACAGATTTCTGGAGTTTGGCTTATAACCTACGTCCAGAGATATTAGAGGAGAAGAAATCCATTACAAAATGGTAGAGATTACGTTCAGTGTTTATGACCTATTTCACCAAACCCTAGTTCTCAGTACACCCAATGTTCTCCTGTACTAGGTCGGCACTGAATGGTACGCAAGCTACTAGATATGCAAACCCCATCTGCGAATCAGCCTCATGGATCACTTGGGGACAGTGAAATAGCCAACTAAGAAATAAACTTTAGTAGATGCGACTCAAGGGACTGCAAGTTCCAAACATCGGAGCTTCACCGGCCAATTGAGAAGAATCAAATCTCATTCCAATTACGAATCAATTTGCAACCCAAGTCCATACTGCAGGGGTGGAGTCCCCACAGGCCCACACCCTCAAACGCCAAAAGGTGGTCGGTCACTGTTGGGCTACGGGCTTAGGAGGCCCAAACTCTCCACTTCCACCACGGCCCAAATTCTCCAACTTTAATCAGCTATGTTTTAGTCTTATAGAGAGCAACTGGTAACTGGAATTCAAGACACCAACACAACAATTTACTTGAAGCTAGAATAGTGCAATGAACTATTTATTGTAAGGATTCAATAATAATCAATACAAAAATTTTGGAGAAAATTCCTCAAGCAATCTTTGGCTCAACTAATTTGCCTCGCCTCACTTTTTCAGTTTTTTGTACAAAGCCATTTATGTTTGTTGAAAGGACAAGATTGCTCCCAAAGTAATCTTTCGATCGTTACCATTATGGGCTTGACCATTGTCATCTCCACATCATCATTTGTAATCATTGTTCTTGGAAAACTTAATTGCGTAGGGACGAAGACAACTCTACATTTTTTTGTTTCTAAATTTAATGGTTGGGACTTGGGAGGGATGTTTATGGGCTGAGATTAGCCAAGTTTTGTCTAGTCAGTTTGGATCAGAGCTCTAAAAAGTGTCAGTACCCAATATAGCTAGGTCTCATCTGTTTGGTTTCTTCAGAGGGGTAGATTTGGAAAGTAATGACCCCTCTTGGATGAAGGTAATACATCGGCTAGCCAAGTAATTAACAAGCTTGTTATCAGCTCCGATTGGCTCAGTTTATGTCAGTTTTCAAAATTATGGCCTCTTCAAGCCCTTAATTCTCAACCATATAAACTCTACATTTTCGATCCGCCTGCCACTTTGATTATAAGTAATGAATATATATATATACATATATTATCTTTAATGTGCTGAAAATAAATCGACTTGAGCCAATCCATCCTTACATCAGGCTTAGGCTTGTTTACCTAAGGCTCCATTTGGTTTGCGGGAAGATTTGAATGGAATGGGAAAGGGTGGGGTGGGGTGGGATGGGCTGGGATGAGAAAATGTGAAAATTTCACTTTCCATCGTTTGGTTATACATGGGAAAAACGTGGAAAAACTATTTTTCCCACGTTTGTTTTGTGGAAAAATCATGCAAGGAAAAATCACTGCTACAGCTCCAAATATTAACAAATGATATGTAGCATCATACTCTTCTAGATGGCCCTTATCCAAATTCAAAGATCTCCAGATCTAATTTTTATATGCATTAACCACGCAAAACAAAGAACATGATTGGCTATTGTTACTATCAACTTATAAGTTTGAGGCTTAACATCTTCAAAAATACATCCCAAAATGAGAAATTTTGATTTCAAGAAATCAATGCATAGTCCATGAGTTTGTCATAGGTTTATCATAAATTTCTACAAGTTTGCAGCCTCTATTGCTCTATAATGCCAAGTGTTCCTGCAACACAAGAAACATAGCAAACATATAAGAAAGTGATTATATTTGCCAAAAAAAATAAAAGAAAGTGGTAAATTGAATTAATTAAGTTTTATTTCAAATACAAGTGGGTTGACACAGAAACCATCCAACTATTTGGCCTTTTGGGCCCCACAAGGTGAGCAGGCCTAGAAACTAGGTGGAGAGAAGCAATTAGGCATTCAGTCTTCTAACTTCCATTGAATCAAAATTCACAAAGCATCCTATAAAGCAAGCTTTCAGAAAATCAAAATAGTATCATAAAATAAAGGTAGACACACAGCATCCTAAAGTAAGCTTTCAAAAAAAAAAAAGTGCACGAATGAGAAAATTTACCATACTCTACATAGTTTATTTATTTACTAAAGAAGGTAGACTCGCAATGCTTTTACTTCATGCTTTAGCATTTCAGAACAGTTGTTCGTTTTCTCCCTATATATGTAATAATTTGACTTTGCCAAGCCCAGCCATAACAAAAGATATACAAATGTAAAAAAGATTAACAGAACTTGAATCGGTATTGCCCAGGCACTGGAGTAAGTAGTCTATATTGTTGTGTGCTGAAACTTCTTTGGAAGAGTTATTCCCTCAATTATTTCGATTAGACAAGAATAAGGATGCCTCAATTGCAGAGTTTTATGAGATTATTGGGGGAAATGTGATTTGGAGTTCCAGATTCAGGAGAAGTTTCCGGGATTGGGTTGCTGGCTGCTTCAGTTGTTGAAGGATCAGTCTGTTGAGGTAAATCAGATGGACAAGTGGAGAATTTGGAGATAGAGATGGAATTATGATGGGCAATTTTCTGTTAAACCATTTGTGTGTGGGTTGAATGGGTCAAACTAAATGTGCTTTCCAACCAAGTAGGTCTGGAACCCAATGTCCCCTTGAAGCTGAATTTCTTGGTTTGGGCTGTAGCCCTTTGTAAGTGTCTTACCAAGAGTTTTATTTTGAGAAGCAATTTGCTGATCTAGGACTTAACTGTGGCTGGGAGGCTGCGTCTGTTGACCATCTTTGCATCCATTTCCTGGTAACTTGTTGAGATCTGGTGGCACTTCATCAAAGCTGCTGGTCTGAATTGGTCGATGCCTTGCTCAGTGAAGGATTGCTGCTAGACTGGAGATTACCTGGCCTAGTAAGAAGGTGACTGTGTGGGAAGAAAGGAATAGTAGACTCTCTAACATTAAAAGAAAAGGCATTGTAGATGACTTCAAGCACCAGAATATATTCCTGTTGCTGAACTCGAAGAGCTTATGGGATGTGCAATGTGATGTTTGTCCCAGGTGGGGGGACTGGTTTGTTTGTCTTGCCCTCTACTCTTGGGTGTATGTTGTATTCTTTTCTTGTGTATGTTACGCAATAAAATTCTTACTTTACCTTTTTTCAATAAAAGAAAAAAGAAAAAGAACTTTGGGAATACCAATTCCAATCTATTAAAGCATAATCATGGAATATGTAAACACTAGACTTACGTTAAGAAATCAAAATACCAAAAACAAAACTCTTCTACCTGAAAAACTACTGCTTTTGGATTCTTAGCAAGTGAACTTTCTGCATTGGTAAAATCAGCATGATGTCAAACTATATCATTCTGTTTTAAAGGTTTAAAATAGGATACTACAAGTATATAGAGAGCTATAGAATGATTGCCACTTCCAGATTCGAGTAACTTTCATGCCACCTACAGATTGAACTACAGGGGGGAAATTGTTTTGAATCCTTAGAGAGGGGAGAGAGAGAGAGAGACCTCAACTTAATCTAAGGGCTATCCTGTTAACTACAATCATAGAACAAGATCCCAACTAATTCTGAAGGAAACCCCTTATCACGGCATCTTCTATTGATACAACTATTACATCTTTTACTATATTGGAAGAACAAATATGATACACTATTACATCTTTAACAAAATGCAAGCTAGTTAGTGAGCTGTTTGGGGATACTGTCAAGGTAAGCTATTACTGGCGAAAAATCCAAAAATCCCAAGTCATTAGTGAGTTGTTTGAAGGGCTGCCCACTTCAGCCTAATTGAATAGCTTATCTGGAGCACTTCAAAGCAGCTGAACAGCTTGGTTGAATCTTCAGCCCAACCCAAAAAATAAATCCTATTTGTCCATGAATCTATCTACCTAATTATCCGTCCTTCCATACACTTTGTGAATCTCTATACATATACATATATATATATATATATATATATATATATATATATATATTTTATAATAAATGAAAACTTTAAGTTCTTGCAAAAATAAAACAATGAATAAAAGAAATGAAAATTCCATTAAAATATATTTGATAAGTAAAAAAACGAAAATCCCATTAAAATAAAAGAAAAGTTACAAGATGATAGTGACAAGGCATCACCCAATTACAACAATGAATAAAAGGATCCAATCTCAGTAAAAGTTTTCCATATTACATATCTGAATTATATGCTGAGAGTTAGATAGCAAGATTTATCAACATATGTCTAAAATCTGATAATTATAATTATGAAAGATGGGGGAATAAAAGGATCCAATCAACTGAGATTGGATCTGTTTATATTCTATTGATAAATCTGATAATAAAAGGATCCAATCAACTGAGATTTATCAAGATTTATATTCTATTGATAATAAAAGGATCCAATCTCAGTTGATTGGATCAAATCTGATAATTATAATAAAAGGATACAACCTGATAATAAAATCTAATAATAATAAATTTAACATGAAATATGTCTAAAAAGAAAACAGCATAAATAATAAAATCTGAAAACAGGGCAGATGGCAGCTGAAAAGTACACACATAGCAGTTCCTATGTGGATCACCTAAACGCAAGTCTGCAACTATGCCCACAAATAATAATCAAGAAACAGATGGCATCATCTTTGAGAGTCAAACCTAACTTCTCTAATGTGCAACAAGTTCAATATTGAATTCTTATCTAATTCGCTTTCTATCTTTAAATAAAGAAAAGAGGAAATATTGTGCAGAGACTTCCATACAGATCAAAGAACATCATAGTTTAACAAGGGAAACAACCCCATGGAATTGCACCTATGGTTAGAACGGTAATAACTGCAGAGAAAATGAGTCATACACCACTAAACAATCAACTACTAATTAATATTCTACATGGTGAATCTGATATGTCTGTGTAGAGACAAAACACAGGTAACGAGAAAGGGACACCATGAAGGGACACCGGGCAGAGAAAGGGTCACAGGTTTGCAATGTGAATGGAGCGTTTGAGATCATACTTGGCATATGACTACTTCATGAGGGACACCGGACACTCGCGACTACTCCAGAAAAGCCCAAATGGCCTTCACATGTCCAGTTTCTGTGTTAAGTGATTTTCTTCGAGCTCTTGGAATGCCTGGGCAAAACGGCTTAAGAACAATGGAGTTTCTGCAAGATCCTGGAATGCCTGGGCAAAACGGCTTGAACAGAGTCGAAAATCACTGAAAAGTCGCGAGTGTTGATTTCCAACTCGTTGCCTGGGCAAAACGGATGGAACACTGTTCTCAATGATTTTCTTCGAGATCCTGGAATGCCTGGGAAAAATGGCTAGAACAGAGAAAAGGTAAGCAAAACGGCCTGAAGACGAAAGAGCTTGAAGGAGAGATTGAAGCGGGAAGTAGATGGGAGAAGACGAAAAGAGGGAAAATCAGTGCAAAACAAAGATTGAAGGAGAGATTCATCGTTGGAATGCCTTACCGTTGTTCAAAGATGCCGGAAAAGTTGCCGAAGGTATGACCGTTGGAATGCCTGGAAGTAGATGGGAGAAGACGAAGGAGCTTACTCTCTGACAAGGCCCGATATTTTTTCCCAGATGTATCTTCGAGTTTTCCTTTCTCACTGGGTGCGACCCCAAATCCTTATTTTTGGGATTTCGCATCCTATTTTTTTCTCATCCCACCCCTGTTTGAAAAAAAATATTCTTAAAATATTTCTCTTTTTCCATCCCAACCTACAAACCAAACGGAGTCTAAGTGTCCGTCTATTTGGGCAGTTTTTACTTTTGGCTTTGGGAGGCGGAGCCACTTGAAAAGCCTTTATGATGGCACAACAAGTCTCTTCGAGATCCAGTAGCATCTCAAAGCAACCAACCATGAACCATGTAGCTAATCTCTCCCAAATCCACTCTAATTCCTAAATCTGAGCTGTGTTATTTGATTTGAAAGTTATACAAGGTTTGTACGAATTTTCCAAACTTTTCTATCAAACCAAAAACTGCCTAAATGATTTAGATTGAGGTTCAGACTCACGAACAATACTCTAATAATATAAATATTAAAGGGTTTTATGCAATTTTATTTATTTGTTTATTTTTTGAATAGAATAAGATATTATGACAATTCCATTTGCTAAACAAAAAGATTACAATAAGTTCATAAAGGGTTTGGCAGAAGTGCAATCCATTGGCCCCATAGAATGTTTTGGATGTGAGGTGGATGAAGCATTTGAGCATGGCTCATGTCTGTGACTCAAATAATTAGAGTGATGCTTATCTTAACTGAGAGTAGGGGTGCCAACAAATCGAATTAGAGTGATGCTTAATACCTTGATTGATTCAAAAGAAGCCTAGCTAATACTAGAGACAGAGAGGAGTATTGATCCATTCCCTATCAAAAGACACACTACTAGAAAGAACATGAGCCAAAACGTTGTTATGTCTGTCTGTCAATGTGCTGCAGCACTTGATAAGAGGATTGACACGATGATCACTCTGTAAACAAATTCTATATATCTAACTTGAGCTTTGGAGCAAATTTTAATCCTACGGGTTTGCAAGACCCGTACTGAACACAACCCATTGGCATCCCTACCCAAAATGAGTTATCTGTGGTCTGATGTGGCTAAATGGATGTCCACATGGCACATCAAAACTGTTGGTATGAAAGATGAGGGTCCATTGATGATTGCCAACCTCTGGTTGGGCGAGAATGTTTGGGAAATCCTTAAAATAAGCATTAATTAATATGAGTACATTTTATCTGCCATGCAGTCATCAATTTGGCCACGCCATACCACTGGTGACTGCCACGAAGTCACCTGCACATAATCCAATAATCAGTTTTTTATTGGGAGTGGGTAGGGTCCAGAAATTGGTTGATTTTAAAGTTGAAAAACAATGTACATGTTTGGTTTCGTTGGAGTTATTTAGGGGATAAACGCCACTTTAAAGTTTCAATATTTTCTCTTTTTGTCATTTGGTTGGGTTAGTTTGCAGGCATTTCAAGACATGTCTTGGCGTTTAAAGGCACTTGCCAATTCTCAGTTCCCAGCTTTACCCGAAGTGGTTGCAATGGACTCCTAGAAATGAAATGAAGAAGAAAGAAGATATGAAGGCCATTCTTGACTCACCCCCTGCTTGGTCTCTTCTGCCATGTATAAGCTTGGAAAGATGAATTTTTCTTTTTGACTTTGCTTATAAAACCATCTTCAATGTTAACACCCCTCCTCGACTTACATAAAATTAGGTTAGACATGCTGAGGGGATATGATATGATGATGTTTGTTAACCATGATCAAGAGTTGAAAAGAAAATTACGACTATCTAATGGAATATGCATTGGCTATCAAAGCCTTTTGATCTGAATTAGTTTCATATAGATGCCACCTTCCTGGTGTACGCAACAGCAACATCTTACCAGATTAGGGCTGCAAACAAAAAATGTCGCAGTGATCAGTATGAAACATATGGCGGGTCTCCGGTCAGTATGAGAAGGAAATCTCCTTGCGCAATGTGGCTTCTATCCTTGCGAAAAGGATTCCTCTTGCATGGTGGTAAGGGTTTGGGGCATGGGGGTTTTCTTCGCAATCTCAGTGATTCGCCAAGCACCGGATATCTCTCTCCCTCGATTGCCAAATCACCTTTCACGTACGCACCATGTCAAATGTGCTTTCATGAAACACAAAGCCATTGGGGGAAGCAAGAATTTTTCACTTCCCCAAGGCTCATTGCACGAAAATCCACCCATTTCCGCTTATTGATGTTTTTTGGATAAATGGTCGTGCCAAACAGCTAATTAATCTCTAATAAACATTTATCGTGCCAAACACCTATGTGGCACTTACGTGGCAGCATTATTGAAAAAACGCCCATAGTTCCAAACACAGCCAATGAGAAATTGGGGCATTGATTTAGCTAGAAGAAACGTGACTCTTAGAATAATCCGACAATATTACCAATTTTTATTTTTGATGTTGCGCAATTTGACTGCTCCCTGCTAGAGGATGATCTGGCTTCCAGTCAGACGGCAAGCTAGGTAAATCTACAAAATAAGATCAGAAAACCCGGGGGTGGCTAGTCCAACGAGGTCGCTGCGATGCTTAAGTTAGTAAGCTGTTGCGAGCTGAAATAGCTTTGAGAATGTAGAGAACTAAAGAGCAGAGAAATCACGCGTACCTCATGCCATTGGGGTTGAAGCCTTTATATAGTTGAGTATTCGTGGGGTACACAAAAGAGTTTTGGGATATCTGGGATGTGGAGATGGAGTTCGCTCTGCTTCCGAAGGAACAACATACAGGTAAGGCTTATCTTGTTCCTCCAATTCCGGCGGAATGAGGATAATTGCTTATCGTGATCCCGAAAAGGGCGGGGTCTGTTAACTTATCGTGATCTCGAGGGATTCGGGAGTCGTTGGAGAGACCTCTGGATTTGGTTATGCGGGAGTCGATTACGTGTTGATTCAAGTTGTTGGTTCCGAACTGGTACTTCGGCCTTTTAGTTCCGAACTGGCTTGGATACCGAGGTGCCTCGAGGACGAGGTGAGACCTGCATCGAGGTAGCCCTGCTTCGAGGTAATCCTTAAGTCGTGGCCTTTGTCCCGAGGTGACTGAATATGTGAGCTCCATTGTTATGAACTGAACTTGTCAGGTTGAGTTGTCATCTTTTGGTCAGGTCGTGTCCGCGTGTCCCCTTTTACTAGGTCGGGCCAAATCACCCTTCATCAATTGCCCCCCACTCCCCGAGCCAAGGGGTCCCGACCCAGTGTGGGGAGTTCATGATGAAAGAATGGTAGGATCCATCTAATGGACGCCAATAAGGTTGCGGAATGGGTGGGCGAATTTCAAAAATTTTCCCACCTTCTTCCAACTGGAATCATATTCCCTAAATTTAGAATACTATATTCAAGGATCCTACTTGAACCATAATCGAACCAGATCTGAACCAAAAAGCAAAAGGGAGGAATATACCTGATCCGGAGAAGCAGTATCTCCCAAAGTTGGTGTTCACACCCAAAGAAGAAACCAAGATCCGCTTCTACTGAAGATGACACAGTTGTGGATGGAAACGGAACCAGCAGGGTGCGTCCTACACACTGGATCCTTCGCAAGAATCCTCTGGAAACTCTGAACACTGAATCTWTCTCAGTCTTTTTCGCAAGACCGATGTCAAGAACTGATTTCTTGACTCCCTATTGCTACAAAGATCAGATCTTGCAAGAGGGAAATGGCGACGGCTGGAGGAGAACTCTTGGGACAAAGATGGCTGAACTGCTTCTCTTCTCTCTGGAGTTTGTATGAGATCTAATCTCTATTTTGCAGGATAATTTCTTGCACCACAAACCCTTGGTTCGAAATCTGATATATTTCTCTTAGGGTTTCTAATCCAAATCAGTATTTGGATATGGGATTATCTTAATCCTATATGCAGATTAAGTTAGCTTACTCCTGATCTTATCAGGAGGTTACCAGATTCAAATCTGTTTTGAATTTGGTCTCCCTGGGCCAAGCCATCTTATAAAAACCCAGGGACTGTGGGCAGGTGCAAGATTAGCCCATCAGGTACTATCCTAAATGGTCCTACACTTAACCTCTCAGCCCTTAATGATCAAGCACTGCCCAAAAAGAGAGGACCTCTCCCTCGGCTGCAAGGAACAGTGCCGCACTCTC